ACAGATGGTACTCTGAAATTAATCCAAAATAGTCACATCTGGGTTTTTTCCATCAGCCTGTTAAGAGTCAGGCATAACACTAGTAATGTCTATTCAGTGAAATACAAAAGTGAAATTAAAACAAGCTGAATTATCTTTAATTGGAATGAAGCATTTGCTACAAGAAGTCAAAGAACATTGCATATTTTCTTCTGAATGAAGTACTTAATTTTCAAGATTAAAATTTCTTTCTCAGATTAAAGCAAGATATCAATTTATCCTGTTAGAATTTGAGGGAAAAATGAGAAAGTTTCCACTTTATATGGTTTTGCTTCTTTACAGTATCAACTTTAAAAAATAAAGAAAAAGTTTCTTTTATTTATAGATTGATTTTCTATACTGTACCTGACTGTAATGTCTGTTCAGAAACTATGGATGCATCAAGAAGAAAACAAAGAATCATTAGTAAAACAACAGGTTACAGTTGAAATCTAGAGTGTTACGAAAAAACATTCTGAGATGGCCTCCCTTTTCTCTTTTAAGTCAATTTGATGCCCTTTTTTTTCTGTTGGCTATAGAACACCTTAGGTTACAAATAAATGACAATAAATGATACAAACACTCTGCAGCTAAGGAAAATCCTACAATGACTCAATGATGTCCACTGTTTCACATCAGAGATCCTAGACCTGCTCTCCTGGCTGCTCCTGTGTGTATGTGTATGCATAAGTGTGTGCACGTGCCCATGTGAGTGTGTGAACGAGAATATTAATATGAAAACCTAAGAGGCTGGAGGATGCTAGAGACATGGGAGATACTGTCCTAATATATACTTTTTAGTATTCTTTCTGGGACTCACCAGTTGATAAGTACAATCAGTTCAGCTATAACAAGACAAAGGCACTCAAAAAACATCACAATGCTAAGCAAAATTGTGCAAATTCCTATAGCCAAAAGGCTTACGGGGAAAATGGGGTTGGGGGACTATATTCAAAAACTTCAACAGTGACACACAAAAAAAGATAGGAACCTAATAAAAACAGCGCAGCATTATGAAGGTTAAATGGTTAAAAAATGCATGAATACTATATAACTTCATCTTGAAAACAATATGAAGTTGGCTTGTAGGAATGGGCATCAGACAGGGTACAGCTTGTGAATAACTGTGAAAGATGGAAGAAGGATTATCTGAAATTAGATGGGAAGTTGAAACAACAGATGTGGACGGGTATGACTCATAACACACATGGTGAACTGAGTTTGGGAAGCTTTTTGAAGTGTATGCATATGTGCACGTGTGTTTTATATATTTCTATCCATCTCAGTTCTGCTGGATGTGGTTGTCTGCATTTAATTCTTGTTGCTTGCCAGCAAAATCAAGCATAAGCTCATGCAAAGCTGACATTCTGCTCAAATCATTCCCTAATATATCAACCGTGTTGGAACTAATTCCCATTCTCAGAACAAGCATTATAGCAGAACTGACTGTACTCCTTTTTTAAGCATATTTTACATACAGTAAAATGTGCAGGAAACTAAAAAACTGATGCTCAAGCTTGGGAATTACTTAGGTCCTTTGCTTCTCTTCTTCTTTCCTTCAACCACTTACTTTCAATTGTTGCTTATTAATGCCTCCACATCAAAGTAGGCACAGGTGGAAAGAGGTGACAAAACACAAATCAGTCAATTTCTACTTTTGGAAGCCAGGAAGAAAGCCTGAAGTTGAAAATAGTAACTAAGATCAGATTTTTTTTGTTTGTTTGTTTAGAGTTTTAGTAGGTCTCAGTTCCCCAGCCTACTTATGGATCCCTGAGAATCTGGCTGTAATTAACTACATTCAGAGCACTATGCAGAATTCTGAAAGAATCCATAACCTATTTGACCAAGTAATTACCCAAGAGTACATTACCTGAAACAGGAAAAATTTTCTCTGCCTTGAACAGGGAACACTAAAAGGTTTGGTTTGGGGCTAACAGGAAAAAAAATGTTTTGGAGTGCTGAAAAGTCTAATTTATTTTGTCAATTATAC